TAGTACGAGGTGCAACTTTAAATGCAACTGCCAACAGTTACTCAGATAGCAATGAGAATTTACAAATAGGAGAGAATGGTCAATCATCACATAGTTTCAGTGAAAATTCCAGAGGTCATCAGTCCTTCACAAACTTTCATTCTAATTCCAATTCGAGTAGCAGTACTAAGTTTCATAAACTACCAAAACTCAACTTCCCTATTTTTGAGGGAAATGTATTAGAATGGCAGTCATTCTGGGATTCATTCGATTCAGCTATTCATAGCAACAATATGTTAACTGAAATACAAAAGTTCAATTACTTAAAGTCTTTAGTAGAAGGAGAGGCATCAAACACCATTGCAGGATTTGCACTTACCCATGCAAATTACAACAGAGCAATTGAGCTCCTACATGAAAGGTTTAGGGAAAAAAACACAAGATAGTTCAGTCCTACATACAAGCACTTTTAGATCTACCCGCTCCTAAGAATAATCTCACAAGCCTGCGTCATTTTCATGATCAAGTGGAGACATATGTCAGGGGACTAGAATCCTTCGGTCAAGCTCAGAATACATATGGTTCACTTCTTGTACCTGTTATTCTCAACAAATTACCAAGTGAATTGCGCAAAAATTTGGCACGTGAACATGGCTCTACTGATTGGTTGCTAGGTGACTTGAGGAATAGTCTTTACAGGGAGCTTGACATTTTAGATGCTGGAACACATATGGACAAAACAGAAGAAAGTGTACAGCTATTTTCTACATACACTCAAATTCCAGTGAAGAGAAAGTACATCAGAATTACACTCCTCGGAAACATCAAGTTTGCTGCGCATTTTGCAAGGAGTCGCATTATTCTTATGGCTGTACAAGATATAAAAAACACAACGATCGTATGAAAATTGTCAAACGGGACATGCTGAGCTTTAACTGTTTAGGCAGACATTGTGTTGCAGATTGCCAGTCTAAATTTAATTGTAAAATTTGTAAAAGACGTCATCATACAAGTTTGTGCACTGCTCATGACGTAGTCAAAACCGAAAAGATGAATACCCCTACATTACAAGCAAAGGCTGAATTGGATGCAAAGACGAAGAAGCTAGCCGAGGTTAATAAGAAAAACCTGGAGCAAAATATTCAGGATTACAGACAGGAAACCCAGGATAAAATGAATATCATCTACCAGCTGGAAAAGGAGCGAGACCACTTCATTAAAGAGGCCAACAATCTAACTCAGAATTACACGAAAGATAAAGTTCATAACATGCAGATTGATGACTACAAGAAGAAGATTTCTGAGGATGACACCAAAATCAGCCAACAACAGAACCTGTACGAGGCTTTCAGTGATGACAAAAACACATACAGCAAGAACCTCATCGAATCTCAGGATGCAGAGATCAAAGAGATGAAGAGGAGGGTGAACATTATGGATCGCCAGATTGATCAGCTAAAGGAGGAAATTCAAGCCAAAGAGAATGCGTTCATCAAGGAGTACTTTGAGCATCACAATGCATATGCAGATAAAGACAAAGAGAACTTCAGATCTGAGTTGAACCATTTAACAGCAAACAAAGCTTTCAGTACACAACATCAAGTTATCCAACATTTCTTGGAGACTCAATTGTTCAAGTACATGATGATACCAAACCCAAAGACATAGAGTGAATCCTAGCTTGAACCAAGTGAAAGGGTGATATTTTTCATGTCACAACTTTTTAGAGAATATTTTGGATTTTTCATTTAAACCGCCTTTAATTTCTCTGTCCAATGACTTACTCAATTCATACTTTTGTGGGCCGGAGAATGTTGTGAAATATGGACACTTTTGTGGGCCGGAGAATGTTGTGAAATATGCACATTACTTCATGTACCTTTCTTATTTACCTTGAATTATCATGATTATCTAAATGACTTTTACTGAACTATGACGTCATAAAGGTGTGACGTCACAAAGGTTACTACGACGTTATGTAGATAACAGTTTTAGAGTTTTCAATAAACCACTATACGATACAGAGGTGTTTTACTTTAGCTACATTCCTAACACTTACAAATGTCTTCCTCTTATAATTAAATGCCTCTTTACAGGTTTTCAAATTTTACATTGAAAACTAACTGAGTTATCTCGTCACAGAAAATTGATGGATAGACGGACAACTTGATTCCTATAGAACTGAGCCCTAGTTATGCGTCGTAACCTTTGTTTAAAAAAGCATCAGACTCTGGCCTGTAACATTTATGATATACAACCTTATCTTACATGTACATGAATCCATTACTTCAGTTGTAATTTGAATTGATAAAGCATATATGGCAAAAGGAAAAAGAAAAACCATTTTTGTATAGATGATATTATTTCTGAAGTTTATAAATGTTAAAGATGAAGTTAACGAACAGTCGTCGGCGACAATATATATATATATATGAAAAATATTCAAACATATAAAAACACTGAGAACGAGTAAAACATAAGTGCTTTCATTTCTTCTTCATGACGTTTTACAATATACTCATGGTAACGTTTATTGTGACGTCATAATAACTTAACGTTAACAAGTCTCTGATTGTTAAAGTTAAGTTATTATAACGTCACAATAAACGTTACCATGAGTATATTGTAAAACATCATGAAGAAGAAATGAAAGCACTTATATTTTACTCGTTCTCCGTGTTTTAAAATGTTTGAATATTTTTCATATATATATATATATATATATATATATATATATATATATATATATATATATATATATATATATATATACACTCACTAAACATATTGTCGTCCATCGGTACATATTGTCGCCGGCGACAATATGTGCCGAGACGAGCCTTTTTCTCCTCCTGCATAAAAGGCGACAAAATGTACAGTCATGTATCGGCACTAATTGTCGTCGGCGACAATATGCGCAGTGAGGGTAGATACATATTGTCGCTGATATACCGTTTTGACGAATATATAGTCGGGTCCTGGAAAGAAAGAGAGAGCGAGAAAGAGTATTGCAGACACTGGAACACGGAGGGAGACAGACAGCATTATTTTCTATTCTGTAAGAGAAAACTTTTTGGACAGAAAATTGTCTAGGATTGTGTACACGATCATATTTTGCCAGGATACCGGAATTCTTGATGAAACACATAAATCATCATATTCTTTTTTTAATATATACATAGACTTTTAAAAGTCTATATAATCTTATATAAGCTGCAATAATGTAGCCCTCTCCCGATTTTTTTTTTTTTTTGGGGGGGGGGGGGGGGGAGGCTACAACTCTTTAGGATCTCCGTAATGGTGCAAGTGCGGGAGTGATTCACTCCCGCACTGATTTTGACTCAGATCATCAGTAAATGACTATTTTATTTACATTACTTACCTGGACTCAAAAAATGTTGTTATGTAAGACATAAATTCATCTAAAAATATACAGAATAACCCATATAACGCTTATTTTTCGTGTATGTCAATATCACCACTTGAATTTAACCGCCATGTTTACTGACCTTGTTTGATTTTATTTTGGGACAGCCAATGAGAACTCGAGATCCAGGGAGCGGATCTATCTAGAAATCCCCTTATTTTAAGCATAAATATCACTGTTTGTATAATATTTCATACGGAATGTTTTTATTCATCGATGTTTAGTGATACTATACAACACGAGTATTTATCCACACCGACATTTACTTTATCAAGCTTTTCTAAATTTCAAGTGCAAGTTTCAGTACATCACGTGAGACTTGTCATGGCAGCCGAGGAAGACGATTGGTAACCACGCAGATTTATTTTACCTTGTTTTAGCGTATAAAAGCCTTAGTTGTTGGTCATGAATAAAGAATCAATCTTATTGGAAGAAAGTTTTATGCGAAAGCAATTTATTTTGCGTACAATCGCCCGTACTCAAAAAATATATTTGCACCATTATGGAGATCCTGTGGAATTGTAACCCTCTCCTGAAAACATCAGATATAAATATCGGAGAGGGCTACATTATTGAAGCTAGTCCTATATATATTCAAAAGTCTTTCCATTAACCCTACTGCTATAGAAGTTATGTGAAATTTGTTAAATATAAGTGTATTTTTTAAGTTAAAATAAGTTAATATAAGAAAGCAATTAGACAGGTATAAATGTTTCAAATTAAAGATATCTGTACATGCTTGTGTACAACCTAGTAAGGGTACGCAAATCGTGACAGCGACAATATGTACGTGTGTAATTTTGCATCTTGCGACAATATATACCGCTAGACGACAATATGTGCACTTAGGGTAGGTTCATTATGTCGCCGGTGATAATTTGAATAGGTTGACAATATGTACCGTCACAATCGCGCTGCATGAAATCGCATACGAGACACGTCTGTGTGATTACACACCAATTACATTCACAAAAGTACAAAAAGAAATCCTTTACCAACCATATCTGTGGGGCGACAATATGAACAGTGAGGGTAGACACTTGATGTCACTGACGACAATATGTACATGTGAAACCTTTTAGTCGGCGACAATATGTACCAATGGACGACAATATGTACCCTAAGGGTTGGTACATATTTGTCGCCGACAACAATATGCACAGAACGACACTATGGACCGTCACAGACGTCTGGAAACACCAGAGATGGGATCAGATGCCGAGGAGAAGTAAATATCCCCTGTCACACCCACTGTGAGCCCTATGAACTGATCAGGTATACGGAGTACTCCACAGTCAAAGTTAATGTAAAAATAATGATCTAACAATTGGTCAATAAATGCTTGATTCACAGAGGGCATTATAAAGAAGCCACAGAAAAATCGTCCAGAGCAATACCAAAACCATACAATCATTACATAAAACATTACTGCGCTGCTTTGATATTAATTAATAAAAATAGATAGTGTGTAGAAAACAATGGGGACTTGGGAAATAAACTGAGAATCAGCAACAATGTATGATCAATATGCTTTATATATGACGTGTCCTCACTCTCCTCTTTATACTGATGTAAAAACTAAAACAAACAGTAGTCAGACAAAAATATTCATTTTACAACATATGTTTAAACTGAAGTAAATATTACTACGATCAATAAATAATGAATGCATAATAAATAACGAGTACACAACCTTCATGCTTTGACACTTTTTTTTCAAATTATAAAGTACATACACTGTATATCCTTACAGTATCACGCAAAAGGGGAAATAAAATTCCTTTTGTCTTATAAATTATGCTTTTGTGACAATTATTCCATTGTAAAATTTTTACATTGCATAAACATTGTTAAGTATAAATTTGCACTTGATCATATATAAAATATACCCTTTAAAAATTACATTGTAGCACCTTCTGACTAGATATCGTAAAAATGCAACGTTAAATGTTAAAACCTGCAATATGTTTTATTCCTAAACTGACTTGAGCATCCCATGCAAAAAAAATGAATACAAAACTTTTCTACAGCTAACTGGCAAGACATTGCAAACAAAAATAGTGTTTGTGACTTCATCTATCAAAACTAACCAATAATACCCGTCATTATTATTATTAATTATAGCTAATTGTATCAAATTCTCCCTTTAGGGATAGATGATACATACACACAATTTTTTTTCAAAACTTTCATGAAATAACAATCTAATCAATGGTTATATAAATAAAATGAATTCGGAGCTAGGCCCACTTTATGCACAAAACGGCCCTGTAGATATCCCAATTTATTGACTTATACTCTATATCCTGTTCCATCCATCAATAAAAGTTTAAAAGTTTGGGCGTTTTTTACAGAAATCTACAGAATATGAATAAAATGACGCAACTTATGAACTCATAATGCATTATTGACTAGACAGAGAAATGCGTCAATTTTTTTTTTTTTTTTTTATAGATATGCAGTCACCAAGGGTCTAAAATGATATTTAATGCACTGTCAACTAAAACTAAGCAGTTTCACTTTTTCAGAAATTCACAGGGTCAAAAAAGCCCTATATGAACCTTTTTCCACAAAAGTTTCCTTTTTTATTCAATGTTTCTAAACAATGTCCAATAAAGTGATAAAAAATATATAGATTTATGAGGGTGATAACAAATGGAAGAAGTTTTAACATCACAGAATTTCTAAAATTTCTAAATATATAGAGAGTTTATAAATGCATTATTTAAAATCAAATTAAGTCCAAAACTTAATACCTATCCATGTATCCAACTTTTTGTTTTGTAGCATGTGTTCTTAATTTTTAAATTTGACTTGAATTCTTACAACTTTGTGTGTAGACCTTGAACAACGCTTGGATTGTAAAATTCTTTAGTGGGAAGAACCCATGAGCTGTCGTCTGCTAACTTTTTCCCGCGCTTATCATTTGCCACGTTGTCGTCCTCTTCTGTTGAGTCTTTGTCCTTTGGAGAAATTAAATTCTGCTTCACTGAATTCTCGCCCTTGATGATGTCTTTGTCTTTCATTGGATTTTCTGTGTACCCTATGCCTTTACATACATCCCGTTTCAATGCCTTCTCCCACTGAAAAAAAGGTTAATATATTGGCAAGACAAAGATAATTGAGAATTATAGACTGTAGTAGTTATTAACATAAATAAGATCAACATGGTAACATAAATACTACAACCGGTGCCACTAACTAGCTTTTCCTCAAACCCAAGTTTTTATATTTTATTTTATTTTATCTTATTTTTTTTTAATTTTCAAGAGATACGAGGCTTGCCTATTGTCTCTTGAAAATAAAGGAATGAGAATTTGATTAAAAAGGATACTAAGAAATACTTATATGGGATTAACATCCCAGTTCTTTCCAAAACATGTGCTTATAAAAAAAGTTGCTATCGACGGAGATTTTAAAGAAATGCCGTCATTTAATCAAAGGTTTCAAACATAAGTTATTCTCCGGTATATGTACATGTATCTTGTTTTTCTCTGGTATATGTATAGTCATGCATATTGTTTTTATCTGATATATGTACATGTATTTTTAAATCTTAGTAAAATCATGAGTCATAATGTACAATGAAAAGGGATTAATATAAATAATAATAAAAATAATTAATGAATACATGTATACATGTATTATAAATTGAATACCTTAACGTAATATTGTCCAGACTTTCTTCGGAGGTTCATACAGCGATTCTTGCTTTTTATTTTCAGTACCCCGATCAAGGCACATACGACAAAAATAGAGACGGGTAAAAACACTGCTATACAAAGTCCAAAATTAGTATACAGTAATGGTGTATACGGTGTCGACGGCTTCTCTCTTGACGTCATTTCCGTATTATTCGATGTCTTATTCAAAAACGTGGCATGGAATTCTTTTATCTAGCAAGAAACAAAAATTGTTATAGAAAATGTGAGTTATTTTAAAAAAAAAATAAATAAAAACTGATAATACATTTCATCGTTATATTTATAATTATTATTTTTAACTTTATTCTAAAATAAAACAACACTGTTAAAAAAGCAAGTGAATACAATTAAATATATTTTATGTAACATGGTTGTATGCCAACATGTTTGGTGAATCAATAAATGAATTGATTTGAAAATATATGTGAAGAGCAACTATATCTGAGTAAATTAACACTAAACTACATTCTCTATTACATTGTTTGAAAAAAAGCTAGAAATGTTACAGTTGTTAAGAATTAAAATTGACGTCAAATCCGTTCCTTCTTTTTAATATTTAGGAAATACTCTTTCAACAAGGATCATTTAAACTTATAGGAAGAGTTTTATGGTGTCCCGTAGTCATTAATAATACAATTGAAGTTCTTGCATTGAATCTGTTGTTTTCATGATCATTTCAAGTATTATTTTCCTGTTTTAATGCATGTGCAATGTCAGTCAAACGAATCAATTAATATTTTCGTACAAAAGGAAGTAGTAACAGGGGTGTTCAATTACTGAGGAAAATCAATTATTCTTTAATAATTATGCTTTTTGACTCAAAATAAAATAATTCAGGTTTTATGCCTCCGTAATCGTAAGATTCACGAGCACATAGTTTTGGTTTGTCCTCCGTCTCTCTGTCTGTTAATCTGTTTGTTGTCCGGAAAAACTTTAACCTTGCCCGTAACATATAAATTGAAGGTGCTAGGGTTTTCGTACTTTACATGTGCATTCTTGTGACAAGACCTTTCTTTAGGTATAAACGATTTTTTTACCTTTTGACCTTGACCTCAGAGTTTGACCAACTTCTGAAAAACATTAACCTTAGACATAACTTTTGAACATTTGGTGCTAGGGCTTTCATATATAAGATGTGTATTTTTTGTGACAAGACCCTTCTTTTGGTACCAATATTTTGATCTACTGACACTGACCTTTGAGTTTGACCTACATTTGTAAAAACTTTAACCTTGCCTTGAACTTAGTGTTTTGGCTTTCATATTTCACTTATGTATTTCTTGTGATTAGACCTTTTCTTTCATACCAATATTTTTTAATTAATGATCTTGACCTTGGAGTACGGCATACTTTTAAAAATACTTTAATCTTCGCCTTGAGAATATACTAGTAATCTGTCGTTGACAAAGCAAAGCGTATTCTTTTAATTAGAATTTGGTAAGGTTGAAAACATTTTTATTCTTTATGGTAAAACTTCAGATTACAGTATTTCATCTTTGAAATACGGTACCAGTTTAAATAAAATATTTGAGTTTATGCATTTCAAAATCATCTTCAAACTTTGTCGATGTAAAAACTTTTAATTCGTGCTTCGTCATCACACATGTAGGTTGGTAGCCTTAAACTCAAACAGCAGAATATGAATTTTACATAATTACTTAATTATACTGGCTATAGTATGCTTAATAGTGAAAGTCTGAATTGTTGAAAATGCACATTTTTGGAATATTAGGTCATATACATGTATATAAGATTATACGAAGAAAGACAATTAAGCAAATCAAAATTAAAGTAAAATGGTAAATAAACTTACACAAAAAAGAAAATAAGAAATGAAAAAATAAGTTGTTACAATGGGAAAGAGTGATGGTGTTTTTCCCCTTTGTTTGTTAGTTAGGTTAATCAGAAGATATTATGGAATCTCAAAGAAATCAACGAACTCTTACCAATACACTCGCGCAGCTGTAGAAAAATTACGTATAAAAATTAAAAATTAACATATGCACACAATACTATATCTTATTGTACGGAAAGGAAAAGTGCCGGGAAGGGGGTGGGGGGAGGGGGTGGTTATAAATATCGCATTTTTTGAAGTCAGGAAATTGTCTTTGATGTATATTCATCAAAACTAGGGTAGGTAGTTTATATCTCTAATGACTTGGGGTTTTAGGTAAGAAGCAATGGTTTAAGCAATAAACAAAGACAAGAATATTACAAAAATGTGCCATACCTCTTCTTGTATGTAATGGACAACGGTGGAGTTCTGAAGAAGTGTTGACAACACTTTATCTGGTAAGTACAGAACTAGAATAAGATACAAGAATGGCTAGTTAATGATAACCTCAATTTGTAAAATTGTAGGACCGTATTTTATTGAGAATGCACATTTGAAGTATGTTCGTCAAATCTATAATATATTTGTCCACATAAAATTTTGAGACAATTTTATCATTCCAAGCCAGTATCTAACTTTTAGTAAATTTAAATACTTTAAAGTTTATACTTACCAGTATTAAATATATCCTCTGCAAACACTGTGATGTAGTAATTTGATTGGTTATGGATTCCCCGCCCAAAGTGCACGTGCGATGACGTGTAGGTTTTAAAGGTTTCCCTGTGGTATCTGGTTTTCCAAGAGAAAATTCCCTCAATGTAAACACCGTAGTTGTCTACATAGTAGATATTCAGCAGGGACGCAAAGATTACTTGTAATTTCTTTCTAAAGGCGGTGAAATTAACATTCTGCAATAGTTATGAAAAGTGAAATCATACGCATCTATTGACTCATGCATTTTACACTATATAAAACCATTGGCTTTTAAGTAAGGTATCGATGTATCTAGATATTTGAACTCAAAATTCTTTCTTTTGTGAATAGTCTGTAGATGTTTGGAAGGTTATAAAGAGCAAATTATATTCTCTTCGTTAGAATTTGGTATGGTTGATAAAAGTATTGTTGGTAATCATGGTAGAAGTTACTTTATAAATCATAAACATCTGCATACCTGTAGATACGAAGCTTCAAATTTAAAAGCTAGAGTAACGCCACAATACGATTCTTCAAAAACTGGTTGTTCGTTTTGATTTTCATGGAATCCACTATTGTGTGCTGTTTTAGAGGTTGTCTCCCTTGATTCAGACATTGTCGTAGTAGGCTGAGATAATGTTGACAAATCTAAGGTTCTTTGTGTCTTTAAGTCATAAACAGAAAATGTGGACATATTAAGGTTTTCTGACGTAGACGCAGTGTTATCTACTGTGTGAGATGTGTTATTTATGGTTGTTTGATCAGTTTCTTTAATGTTTGCTCTATTGTCCTCTTTTGTCGTCATGGCAGTTATCAATGTAGTAAACACACTGCTGGTGATATCTGCACTAGGTGTTGTTCTTTCTGGAAGGCTTTGGCTTTGATATGTAGTTGTCACCTGTTCTGAACTAGTTTCTATGCTTGTCGTTGCTGTTGGGATTTTTCTGGTAGTTGTTTTGTGAGTGAAATAGTGAGTTTGCCTTATTGTATCAAAAGTATGCACGATTCTTCTTCTAAGGGTGTTCACTGTAATAACATCACGCAGTGTCAATCATTAATGCTACACTTTTTTGGATAATTATTGAAAATGTAAATGACTGACAATAAATTAAATAAAACCTGTTGACAAAATAAATATATGGAATTAAACTCACAATCCAAAGTCATTGGACAACTTTGAGATAAAGGCACACAACCATTTGGACATTGTCGTTCATTGGAGGAACATCTGTTATCTGAAATGTACATTGTCTCTTCTTATTCTTATGTCAAAAAATGTCACATGTAACAAAAAGTACATTTGAAATATTATAACAGCCAATCACTTAAATGTACGGATGCTATAGATAGTAAGCAAAACTATTTACATTTAAAACACAGGTAAAAGATAGACTCAATATGTATAAAGATAATTATGATTTCCTTATGCATTATTATGTTAACTTTCCTGCTTTGTAGGAAAAAATTTTACCTCTTATTAAAGATGATGGAAAAATATCTTCGTTGAAGACGATAGGTATAAATATTTCCATTTTAACGAAGATAATATACAATTGTTATCCTCAGTTGTATATTGTTAGTTTTAGATATTTAATTTTTGATGCACATGTTTGACCTTTATTGAAGATTGTAAATTTCCATAGTGGAAGGATGATGGTACGTTGGTTGAAAGAGTTAACCTTTTGTTGTATATGGCATGTGTATTTCCGTTGTGATAGGTGTGTGATAGGTCGGGTTAAGCAGTTTACCATTTGTTGTAGATGGTATGTAAATTTCCACTGTGGTAGGTGTCTGAAAGTTTAGGTTAGTGGTAGATGGTATACTTTTTGTTGTAGGTATTATCCAAATATCAGTACCACTTGATAGGTAATGTTAGATGGTTTACCTTTTGTTGTACATGTGGTATGTAAATCTCCTTTGTGGAAGGTGGAAGATAGGTAGCGTACAGCTGTTTACCTTTTGTTGTAGATTGTATGTACATTGTAAGTCTCTGTTGTGGTAGGTGGTTAGTATGTAGGGTAAGGTAATATATTTTTTGCTGTATCTGATAATGTAAATCTTTGTTGTGGTAAGTGTCTGATGGGTAGGGTTAAGTGATTTATCTTCTGCCGTTGATGGAATCTCAATCTCCATTATGATAGGTGCTTGATATGTGAAGTTATTTACCTTTTGCTGCAGATGATAAATAGGTCTCCGTTGTTGTGTACCTTCTGCTGTAGATGGTGTATAAGTCTCAATAACTGGGTTAGGTTTTAAACGTCTGCAGTAAATGGTATGCTAATCTCTATCACGGTAGGTGCTTAATATGTAAAATTAATATGTGGTTTACCTTTTTTGTGGATGGTATAAAGGACTCCATTCTTTTCGGTACTTGATGGGAGGAGTTTGATGGTTATTTTTTGTTATAAATGGTATGCAAGTCTCCGTTGTGTTAGGTGCGTGATAGGTTAGGTTAGATAGTGTACCTTTTGTTGTTGATGGTATATGTATATTAGTCTCTGTTGTGTTATATGCTTCATACGTCAAGTTATAAAGTGGTTTACCGTTTGTTGTAGATGATGTGTAAGTCTCCGTAGTGGTAGATTCTTGATATGTTAAGTAAGATGGTTTACCTATTGTTGTAGATGGTATATAAGTCTCCGTTGTCGTAGATGCTTACAAGGTAAGATTGGATGCTTTATCTTTTGTTGTAGATGGTATATATATCTCTGTTGTGGTAGATGCTTGATATGTTAAGTTAGGTGGTGTACCTTTTGTTGTAGATGGTATATAAGCCATCGTTACGGTAGATGCTTGATATGTTAAGTTAGGTGGTTTACCTTTTGTTGTAGATGGTATATAAGCCATCGTTATGGTAGATGCTTGATATGTTAAGTTAGGTGGTGTACCTTTTGTTGTATATGGTATATAAGTTTGTTGTAGATGCTTGCTATGTTAATTTCGGTGGTTTTTGTTGTAGATGATATATTATTCCCGTTGTGGTAGATGATTGATTTGTTAACTCAGGAGATTTACCTTTTGCTGTAGATGGTATATAAGTCATCGTTGTGGTAGATGATTGATAAGTTAGGGTTTACCTTTTGCTGTAGATGGTATATACGTTGTGGTAGATGTTGGATAAGTAGGGTTCGGTAATTCAGAAGAAGGTTCTCCAGTTTTTGCTGTAAAGACGTGCATCTTCATTTGATTTTCCTCACCTGTAAACAGATAGAATTTTCAAAATGGAATTTTAGTTGTCTGAAAGGCTTTTTTGATATGGACCATTCCTCTTCATGAGCACACCGTAGGTAGAAAATTTCTTAGATATTTGTATATTTATGTATTATTCTTTTATGAAAAACTTCGGAGATGAAAAATCGTTATCATTTTATAATGTTGGCATGCTAAGAGAACAATTTCACCAACAAAATTACATGTATTTACTTAAATTTTAGAATTCAGGATTTTCAAAACTAACTTTACCGATATTTCTTATAGGCAAATTTAATGAATGAGGTATAACTATTCAATAGTAATATGTAATAGACGTATAATCATAGTTTTCAGAAGTAAAAATCAATATATATTTACAAAATATATAACTAACACTGCGATGTTGCACGAAAAGTTTCTAGCAAAACGACACACAAAAAGATATTTATTTCAGCATTAAATAATATATGATCTCTAATCAAGTTCATCTATTATAATATACCCTAAAGACATTTATCTTTAAATCATCTTATCAAGATTATTTTTTAGCATCCAAGTAAACAGGGTCACCTACTGACTACACAGTATCCAACGTCACACCTGTCGGGTGGGCTCAGTCTGTACACATAAAACATGCCACAGTTGTGGACCACCGCCGGCTGCCTCAAAACACAGCAGTCCCATTTCCTGAGGATTGTATAGGAGCCACAGACAGACACACTGATGGAGTGGTTCACTGTAGGAAGTTGTTGGTCGTGAAGATCCAGTCTGAGGGGTATAACTGTCCCACACGCTTTATTCTGAATGAAAAGATGTATGTTGAACTTCGAATTCGTGATTGTAGATGCTAACATTGGTTATGCTTATACACTGTGAATGTATGTCACAAAGCATGTATTTCTAATATATACGGCGTTATCAGCCTTTATTATAATAGCAATCTATTTAAATCCATTTTGAGAAGAATCTAACAATGACATATTAAAACTGAATTGGAAAATAAAGTTCATATTTGGAAAAAATTGCCAGATATCCTGGAGAAACTGCCTCTATTCAGCTGTGATTCTGGGTCTTAAAACACTGACATATACTAAACATGAGAAAGCGAGCAATAACTGTTTATGTTAGTCACCCTTCGCAGCAAGGCCAAGTACAAATAGTTTCTATATAGTTAGTCTGCCTTCGTACATTCATGCAGTGAAAACAATATATGAGCGAAAACAACAGTTATTGAGCAAAATCTCATTTGTCAATAGACTTTCCTACAGAAGAGATTATTGACAAGTAAACAAAAATTACTAATTGAAAGGAACGGATTCTTTTAATTTAGAATTGAGGAATAAGACAATTGAAGGAGGAAGCTGCTTAGACACTCTGTTTACACATGACCGGAAGTGACTGCGCGGGCCGAGTAGACTGATAAGTGGCGGCCATTATGACTTCAATTTTCTGAGGAAGGAGTGTCGAACTTTCAATGACAATTCTTTTTTTCGTTTTTTTTTTTTTTTTTTTTTTTTTTTTCAAATTTGGTTAATCTTGTTTCCGCATGGAGAACAAGATAATGTCCCTTTTCCATCAACACATTATTTTTTTTCTTAGGTAGTTTCGAAAGCAACCCAAGTCATGCCATTCATTAGCACACTATTATTATAAGGCTTACGATATTTCTTTTCCCTTTTTCACTCATGTAAAAAAAATATTATGCATGGACATGTTAACATGCCTAGGTTTCCAGATTTTACATTACCTTAATGCACAAGCTTGGTAGCTGGGCGGTTTTCCCATTGATTAAAAACCTATACCATCCCTCTTTTAATTTCTGGTCACAGTTATTTGATTCTTTGCTGCCAATTTCTCGCCAGTTCTCATTTAGAACCGTGTGTACTTTATCACTACAAACGTCAAGATCTGTAAAAATGAACACCAGTAAGACTTTTCAGTTATTTAAAGATCTGCTTTGTTCTAAAATCAAAGTTTTCAACACAAGTTTAGTAAAAAAAAAAAAAATCTTTAATCAATTTCTCTCCTTAACCCGTGAGTATCAGAATGTGTCCTAAAAAGTTTTAACAAAATAAAATGAGTGTTTTTCATAAACTGAAAACAGGTAATGACTTTATACACTTTTCACTAAAAATACCTGTTGCAGATTTGATTAGATGTTCCTGACGTAGATAGACAGTAATTGTAGATAATTCAAGCCTGTTAGAGTGATTATAATAAAGGCTTTTTTAAAACATCATTTTTTTTTTTGGACGCCCAAAATTCCTAACAAATCGACGTGGAAATTACTTGGTGGATTTTGCAAGTATTTCGACAGAAAAACAAATTCTAAGGCATTTTGACAACTCAGACTTTACATTTCTGTTTTAAAAGTAACGAAACAAATTAACTTTGACATTATTTATTTACAAGTAGCTCACTGTTTTATAAGCAGTGTTACAAGAAAACATGTGTAAATGAAGATTTTGAAAATAGATATCTTAAAGAAAAAGAAATCGAAAATTACAAATAGAACACCAAATAAAAATGACGATTCAGTAAAAAGGAACCCAGTAAAAACCGTACACGAACTGACCACCTGACGTCGACTTTGTAGATTAAAGCATGAAACTCTAGGGAAATTAAACATTTATATATACAGGTTTTCCCACACTTTCACTTCCTCGCGCTTTATTTTGATGAATGTGTTAATCAGTTATGTGTCAGGACTAAAATGAAACAAACATAGGACAGGAATTACCGCTATATTTGGGAGAACTGACTTCTGGTTTGACATTTGAGTTGCTCCCGATACCTGTAAACATAAATACAAATTTGTCAGCTGGTCCAACAACATACATAATAATAAAAACTGCATATGAATCTTTTTTTAAAATGACAGTTAGATATTTTGGAATTTCAATTGCGTCCAAACTTTTCAAAGGTAGCCGAAAGGTAAATTATTTGTAATACTGGGAAACCCAAATAAAGGGAAACCATAAAATGATCTCATAGCTCGCGTAGTTTTGAAAGTGTTACAACTAAAAGAATTTAGAGACAAGTTATGAAAAAAACATTTTAACATAAACAATCTCTTATAGGAGTTTTTTGTGGGTTATTTTTTTCATTATCTTGTCAGATAAAACCGCGTCAACTTGCAGGGTGACTAAACTTCGTCCCAGGAAAAGAGAGAGAGAGAGAAAAAGAGAGAGATAGAGATGGGGAGGGGGGAAAACCAGTTAAAATATGGTCTTACTATGGGAGTTACCATAAAAAATATACATCAATTTCCTTTAGTATCTTTAACAACACCAGTTTCTGTGCTATATACACTTGAATTACAATGTAATTGACACGTACAGTATAATTTGTCTGACCTCTCGTCAAAGAGGTGTCCCATAATTCACTTTATCCCCGAGTTGGGTGAAGTATTCACACTTAAATCTAAAGTGATTTATGTGACTTTTCAGAATTAATCTTATTGAACTATATACTGGCCAAAATGTAACATTCTTGTCTTCATCATAAGTTATGTAAAACATATGGTATATGAAATGCATATTTAATTCAAAAAATACTTTTAAAGCCATATCAATTTAACCTCGGCAATGCTGACACTTAAAAGGATTGTTTTTCGAAATTTTCTTTAGGAAAAATCATCTCTCTCTCTTTCTCTCTCTACAAGCATTTTCATCAAACACTTTATATTTTTTTTTCAGTCTCATGACTCAATCAATTCTGGTCGTAATGAATCAATCTTTTCGTATTAGGAAATTGATAGAATCTGAACCGTGTAAATGATTGTCTTGATATTTTGAATAAATCTAGTAAGTATGGAATAAGGAAGAATATAGTAAGCCATAATTGGGACATGCCAGATGAGAGAAGATGAAATCAGAGATGATCATTACGATGATCGTTAACGATAACTACCTTTGACAAGAGGCCATAGGATCAATCTTCCCCCTTGTAGGAAATAATTAATTGAAACTGTTCCTAAGAGGTGAATTTAATCCTACTTTCCTCATTGTGGTTTAATGGGCATCAGAATACACAAGCATTGTTTCTTAGTTTACAGAGGTTTTGAGTACCTTATCCAGAGTTGTTTCACTGCCTACAGACGTCATGTAATCCAAATATAAACAAATAAGCTAGAATTTGATTAGGATTCACTGTATATCATTTTAATTTTTTTAATGCCTTTTCTTTGAGCCATTTTGAAACCCAACAAATTCTACTCATAGTTTTTTTAGCAGACGACAGTTGATAAAATGTAAAAAGTGTGTTCTATCAATATGCAAATAACATTACCTTGATTTATTGCTTAAAAAACGAAACAATGCAAATATGCAATTACATGTACAGAGGCAGTGAGACAAAACACACAGGTATGGTAAAACAAATTAATGGATGTATATAATATGTACTTACCCTTTATAAATAATATCACAGTCAAGATGTAAAGATCTCGGACGGTCTGCATGATATGATTTGGAGAACCCGAAAAAATCGAAAGTTTTTTTTTTGGTGAATTCCCTTTCAGACGACATTCAATTGTTCTGTCATTCCGACATTGTGATGCCCAGAGCCCGCGTTCAGGCTACAGATTATCTCCGGTTTGAAACAAAAAACCAATTAAAAAATCCCTTCCACCAGCATGATAAGGCCACACTGTCGTCCGCTAAGTTACGTATTACTGAAAACACTTCGTTTATAATTGAATCCAATTTCTGACATTTACTACAAAACATACTCATAATTCAAGTATATATATAGGTGAGCTTTACAAGAACGGAAATATTTAGATTCTCTTCAAAACTTGACACAAAATTAAGTAGTTGTGAATGAAGGGAGGAAACAGATCCGGTCCACCAACGCTCAGGACTAAAATTAACCCGCCGTCACTGAAGTCCGCAGGAAGTCATTAAGATTTATAAGAATTTTGTTGACAAAATGAAATCAAGATTTGACACAGCCGGTGATCGACATTTCTTAAGGCGGTGTAGGAAGTTTGCAATCGATTTAAATGTTTAGTTTTATTTTCTTCTTTCTAAATTGATTTTTCTTAAAACAAGAATTTCCATTGCCCTGGATACAGAAATATGCCTTTGAAATGCCTGTTTGCTGTACACTTGCATCGACGCTACAATTTCGATTTGTTGAATTAAAGGTCCTTTATCAATCGCGAAAAAAGTGCCAGATTTTGTGGTCTGTCGTAAAGCTGTCGGCAATCAAGTTTATAGAGCTAATTAAAACAAATTGAAAGAATTGTATTCAATTTGATATTTGTTGTGACGCCATTTTACTCATTTTGTGGTTCATATTTATCCAACGATGTAGTTTTACTTGTAAGTACTCATATTATTAGTATCAAGGAGAAATGAACAGCTAAATTTCGAAGAAATCAAATTGATCATACTTCATTCTTTTATTTAAGGAAATCAATTCTTTAAGCTTGCAAAAATATTACTGAATTACTGAGAAAACTCGATTTAAGTGACGATTCATTAATAATAATAAATAAAAATAAAAAATAAATAATAGAAAGTAACAAGATTTTTATATTTGAAATTGAAAATCATATTATTAATTGAATTCTAGAGGTATAGTGAAAAACAAAATTATCGATCGAGGGGAAAAGGACATGCCAAATTGGCGACAAAATAAATTCTCAAAACAAGCGTTTTTCTTTTAATTGCAGGAATGGTCAACATCCAGTCTACAACTTTATGTAATTATTTTAAATAAAAGTATATATTTACCAAGATGAAGCTGTTTTCAAAGGCGGGAATCATCAATTTCTAGAATCTCCTTACGATAATGAGGACGCCCACTATACATAGTCATCGTATGTTTGTCTGTTGTTCTCCGTTTAACAGTAGTTGTATATTTGCATTAATAATGTTGTGTCAAAACGAGATTAATAGACAAACATGCACTCATGGTTAAAAAGAGAAAAAACTGCTTCTTCTTACATTCTCTTTCTCTGTTGTAACCAAGGTCTGTGGCATGTTGAATTTTGGACACTGTGCTCGAACACGTTGAATTGTCAGGCATCGATTCAAAATATTCTTTACTTACATGGACGTGCTCATATTGTTAATTACTTTTGAAACCTTTGTAAATAGTGTACGTGTACCATCGAGGATAAAGGGGAGAAAGAGTACATGTAATCTCGTATTTTTATGATGTCATTCTTACAATGTTAGCTCCACCTCTCATGCATACCTAATGTTTAATCAAAGGCAGGTAAGTGTAAATTCTCCATGTTTGGAAAGCAATAAGGACAAGAAACATGGAGGTATTTTATTGATTCTGAGTCTAATATCATTTAATCATTTAAATTTGGAGCCAAATTGACAGAATTCTTTTGTAAATATACCAAAATGAAATAAGGTAAAGATTTAAAAGCAACAGAAGCGACGAAAAAAAGACCAAAAAACCCAGCATTTAGTACAGTTATCTTATCCTTTATGTTTTCAGTTGACACTTAGCACGGAATGTTATCTTGTAAAGATAACAGCTAATATCGCGAAACTTGATTTTTCGAAAAATCATATACATCCTCTACTGAATTGATTGATTTAAATGATTTTTAAACATTTTGCACCATTTTCCTAAACCTCTGTACGAACACAAATGACATATAATTATCTATTTATTGGAAAACATTTATTATACCTTTATTAACAATTTTTAAGTTTTATTGTATGTTTTATATTCTTATTGTAAAAACAGCACATCTGCTTTGTTCAATTCTATTAAAACATTTAGTTATGTATACTGACTATCACAAAACAACAATAAGAAAACGGTGTCTGTCGATCTGTTATTGTTAAGTCTTGTCTGTTTTTGTTCTTAATTTGTTAATGCCAAAGATATATCAGAATATAAAATTGAAAAAAAATTTATCTAAGAAATACTGTTGTACTTTACTTATGATGGTACTGTAGTAGCATATTTTAGTACAGTCTATGGAAATCGTTTAAAATGAATGAACTGTTACCTAGTAAGTTAATAGTTTAAGACTAAAACAAACTTAACTTTCAACATATAAAAAAATGAATATATAATATATATAATTATACAATGTAGTCACTTTCTGTATGAATGGGTTATCTAATCACTGGTCGGGTGTGTATTTTTTAAACGTCATTTTCTACTTGTATAAGTACTTACTGCCATGACAATTCTTTGTCATAATAACGCCTACTGTGACTCAAAAGAGAACTTTTTCGTCATAGTAACAAGTAACACCTATTGTGATGTGATTTAAGAGAAAAAGAAAGAGGGGGAGGTTTTTGACATTCAGCTTAGGGGGTTAACGCTATAAAGAGATCAAGCCATGTTAACCTGGCAAAAAGTGTCATATTGTAAATTCTGAAATCCGCTTTTTAATTTTAACATTGGTGAGAAATTTAATTACTCGGTTATGGAAATAATATAATAATAAGTTCCCTTGATAATTATATATTTTTAGCTCACTTGAGCTGAAAGCTCAAGTGAACTTTTCTGATCACATTTTGTCCTTCGTTCGTCTGTAAACTTTTCACATTTTCGACTTCCCTTCCAGAACCACTGGACCAATTTCGACAAAACTTTCCACAAAGCATCCTTGGGTAAAGGGGATTCAAATATGTTCAAAAATGTGTCACGCCCTTTTTTAAGGGGAGATAATTCAGAAATAGTTAAAATTTGGTGATATCTTTTTAAAATCTTCTTCTCAAGAACCACTGGGTCAAAAAAGTTGAAAATTATGTGAAACTTTCTTTACATAGTGCAGAAATCATGACCACCGGGGTAGGGTGGAGCCACAATGAGGGATCAAAGTTTCACATTGAAATATATATGAAAAAATCTTTAAAATCTTCTTCTCAAGAACAGCAAGGCCGTGTTTAATCATTTTAACATGGAAGGATCCTTAGGTAGTTAAGATTCAAGTTTGTTCAAATCATGACTCCCGGGTGTTGGCTGGGACCACATCGGGGGATCAAAGTTTTATATAGGAATTTATAGGAGAAAAATAAGATATGTTTGTAAAACACTAATGCCCCTGTATGACAACTTATAGCAAAGGTTAAACTTTCTCAAATGCAAATAAAATTTGTTGTTACCCAAAGTAAGGTTTCATCTCGAGAAAAATACTTGTGAAATACCAAAGCCCTAGCAGCAACCATTGAATAGAAATGGAAAAGGTTAAAGTTTTTTAAAAGCAAGTCAAACATCAAGGTCGAATGGTCAAAATTAATGGTGCCCAAGGAAAAGCTTTCTCACAAGAAATACACATGTAAAATATGAAAGCAGTAGCACGAATCGTTTAAAAGTTTTGGTCAAGGTTAAAGTTTTTTTCAAAAAGAGGCCAAACTCCCAAGCTCAATGGATTACAATTGTTGGTATCCAAAGAAAGGTCTTGTCACAAGGTATGAACATGTTAAGTATGAAAGCCTTAGATCCAACTGTTCAAATGTTATGGCCAAAGGTAAATTTTTTCCAGGGTAGGTCAAACTCCAAGGTCATGGCCAAAGACTCAAAGTTGTTGTCCAAATGAAGGTCTTGTCACAAGGATTAGATATGTGAAGTATGAAACCCCTAGCACCAACCGTTAAAAAGTTATGGCCAAGGTTAAAGTTTTCCAAAAGTAAGTCAAACCCCAAGGTCAAGGTCAAAGGGCCAAAAGTGTTGCTATCCAAAGGAAAGTCTTCTCATAAGGATTACATATGTGAAGTATGAAATCCCTAGCACTTACCGTTCAAAAGTTATAGCCAAGGTTAAAGTCAAATTATGAAAAACTGGGTTAAACTCCAAGATCAAAAGGTCAGATATGGTGGTATCCAAAGAAAGGTCACAAGGAATACACATGTGAAATATGAAAGCCATAGCTCCAACCAATCAAAAGTTAAGGGAAATGTTAAAGTTTTTGCGGACAAACAGACGAACAGACGGACGGACAGGGAAAAACTATATAATTATTCGATACGGGGGCATAAAAATGTTTTAAAATCTTCTTCTCATAAACAGCTAAGGCATGTTTAATCATATTGGTATGAAAGCATCATCAGGTAGTGTAGATTCAGATTTGTTCAAGCATGTCCCCAGGAGTTTGGATGAAATATATGGAGATAACCATCAGTATTCAAGCTCAAAAGTCAATTAAACAATACAAAATAGGAGCAGAGCAAACACGGACCTCCAAAACATGAGAGGTGGGATCAGGTGCCATGGAGGAGTGAGCATCCCCTGCCGACCGGTCACACCCGCCGTGTGCTCCTTGTCATGATCGGGAAAAACCCGTCGACAATTCAGTGTGTAAATAATGGCCTAACAATTAGTATGAAATACGTCAGTCAGCATTTGACTCAATGATAAATTGTAGGGCATTGTATCGATCATAGAACTTACGAGGGACAACAATAAGGTATCAAAGTATAAAATAAAAATAAAAGGAAAAAATCTAGAAAAATCTTTTCATCAAGGACAGCAAAGCCATGATTAACTATAGTAATATGGAAGCATCCGCAGGTAGTGAAGATTCAAGCTTTTCAAATCATGACCCCCGGAGGTAGGGAGGGGCCACAATGGGGGGATAAAAGTTTTATGAAGAAATATATAGGAAAAAATCTTCTTCTCCAGAACAGCAAAGCCATGATTAGTCATATTTATATGGAAGCAACCCCAGTTAGTGTAGATTCAAGTTTGTTTTAAATATGTCTCTCCGGATGGTAGTGTGAGGCCACATTGGGGTATCAAAGATTTACATAGGAATACATAGGAAAAATCTTTAAAAATCTTCTTCTCAAGAACAACAAAGCTTTAATTGGTCAAATTTATATGGAAGCATCCTCAGGTAGTTTAGAGTCAAGTTTGTTCACATTATGATCCTTGGGGTTGGGTTGGGCAACAATGTACGTTAAAGTTTATACATAGGAATGTAAGGGAAATATCAATTTTTTTCTCTCTCAAGAACAGCAAAAC